GGGAGTAGCCACTGCACTCCAGTCTGGGTGACAGAGTGAGACTCCAACTCAAAAACAAAACGATAAACCAACTTCAGAATACTCTATCCAATGACAGAAGAATATATATTCTTTTAAAAAAACACACATGGAACATTCTCCAGGACAGACCATATACTAGGCTAGAAAACAAGTCTCAAATTTTAAAGGATTGAATCATACAAAATATGTTCCCCAATTGCAATGGAATATATATGATTATATACCATCTCCCAGTGGTTCTGCTTCTCTTGTTGAACTTTGTTACAAATTCTTTTTTCTTTTTTTTTTTTTTGAGTTGGAGTCTCACTCTTCGCCCAGATTGGAGTGCAGTAAAATGCTTACCGCCACCGCATCTCGACCTGCTGGGCTCCGGCGATCCTTCTGCCTCAGCCTTCCAAGTAGCCAGAAATACAGACGTACACTACCACGCCCGGCTAATTTTTTTTTTATTATTTATTGTAGAGATGAGGTCTCACCAAATTGCCCAGGCAGGTCTCGAACCCATGGGCTCAGGCAATCCACTCACCTCAGCCTCCCAAAGTGCTGGGATTACAGGCTGAGCCACCAAGCCTGGCAACAAATTCTTAGTACAATACTAACATCATGATTCATAAAAGAATCAAGATTGGACTTCATCAAAATGAAGCACTTTGTGCTTCAAAGATATCAGTAAGAAAATGAAAATATAAGTCATAGACGGAGAGAAAATATTTGCAAATCAGTTTTCTGACCGAAAGACTTACATCCAAAAGATATAAAGAAATCCTAAAACCAATAACAGAAATGCGCAAATATTTGAATGGGCATTTCATCAAAAAAGATAAAGAAATGGATTAGTAAGAATATGAAGATGTTCAACATCATTAGCCATTAGAGATATACAAACTAATACCACAATAAGATAACACTTCACGTGCACTGGAATGGCTATAATAAAAAGGACAGGCTGGGCGTCGGGGCTCGTGCCTGTAATCCTAGCAATTTAGAAGGCCAAAATGGGAAGATTGCCTGAGCCCAGGAGTTCAAAAGCAGCCTGATTGACATGGCAAGACCTCATCTCTACAAAAAAATAAAAAATAAAAAAATTAGCCAGGTGTGGTAGCACTCGCCTGTGGTTGCAGCACTTGGGAGGCTGAGGTGGAAGGATCGCCTAAGCCGAGGAGGTCGAGGCTGCAATCAGCCATGATTATGCAATCCAGCCTGGGTGACAGAGTGAGAGCTCAACTCAAAAGAAAAAGACAATAACAAGTGTCATTGAGAAAGTGGAACTCTCATACGTTGCAGGTGAGAATGTAAAATGGTGCAGTAACTTTGGAAAGCAGTTGAGAGTTTCTTTAAAGGGTAAACATAAATTTATTCTATGACCCAGCAATTCTCCCAGGTATCTACCAAAAATAAATGGGTAAACAATGGCAGCATTATGCATAAAGGGCCATAAATGGAAACAATTCAAATGTGCATCAACTGGTGAATGCTAAACAAAATGTGATATTTCCAAACAACTGTATGAATTTAGCAATAGGAAGGAAGAAATTACCGATACATCCTATAACATGGCTGAATTTCAAAAGCATTATGCTAATTGAAAGAAAACAGACATAGCGCAGTGGCTCATGCCTATAATCCCACCATTATGGGAGGCCGAGGAGAGAGAATTGCCTGAACCCATGGGTTCAAGACTAGCCTGGGCAACTTGGTGAGACCCCCATCTCTACAATAAATCAAAAAATTAGCTGGGTGTGGTGTTGCATGCCTATAGTTTCAGCTACCTGGGAGGCTGTGGCAGAAGGATCACCTGAGTCCAATAGATCGAGGCTGAGGTGGCCGTGAACGTGCCTCTGCCCTCCAGCCTGGGCGACAGAGTGAGACTCCAACTCCAAAAAAAAAAAAAA